TGGAGAAACAACCATATATCAGATGCTGATTCAGGGCATATACAGACTTCCAGAGAATGCTGCCTCAGCCTGCAACGTTTTGATACCCAGCTGGTGCTATAACTGAGTCTTCAAAGTGTCATTCCATCATTTTACCAGGCCAACTGCCTCAGGATGATGGGAAACATATGACCAGTGAATTTCATCAGCATGGACCCACTATTGCACTTACTTTGCTGTGAAGTCAGTTCCCTGATCAGAAGTAATGCTGTGAGGAATACCATGACAGTGGATACGGCATTCTATAAGTCCATGGATGGTAGTTTTATCAGCTTTGCATGTAGGGAAAGTAAATCCACATCCAGAGTTTCTATTCTAGTAAGATTAAGATGCTGCCTCTTCCATGATGGTCTAATGTAACCAACCTGCTTCCAGTAGCTGGCTCAACACTCCAGGGAATGGTGCTATACTGGGGAGTTCAGTGTTTGTTTCTGTTGCTGGCAGATTGAGCACTCAGCAATGGCCATAGCCAGGTCAGCCTTGGTGAGTGGAAGTCCATGTTGCTGATCACAGGCATAATCTTCATCCCTGCCAAAATGACCATTTTGTTCACAAGCCCATTGGACAATGACAGCGGTGGCTGGGGAAAAAAGTCGTTAGCCACAGAACAGGCCATTCCATCTACTTGATTATTAAAATCCTTTGCTGAGGTCTCCCATTTATATGGGACACGGGTATCTTCAATTTTTTTCCCTGATTCAGAGAGGTCTATCCACCTATCTCTTCCCCAGATTTCACTGCCCAAATTTCCAATCATCTTCCTTCCACTATAATGCCAAACACTGTATCCATTTCCACACTTGTTCCCCGGATTTGTCTGTATAAGTTAGAAAACTCAAGTAGTTCTTTTCGGCTGTAGCACCCCTTCCTCATGGGTCACACTCTGCACTGCACTTTTAGGAGCCTGCTAGGACTTGAGTCTAGTGATAGGTCTGCAAACAAAAGGGGGTGGTTGTGGGGGCTTCTATTGCCTTGCATGGCCACTGCCTCAACGGAGGTCATTACAGTTTCTTTAGGCAATGCATAGTTAATTCCATAAGATGGGAATATAAAGGCTGATGCCACTGTGGGTGGGGATGCCACTGCCACGAGGAGTGGAAAGGCCACTTCTGCTGATGAGGCTGCTTCCACTGGTAAGGAAGACTCAGAATTTAGGAGCTCAATGGCCCAGCTACATCAGAGCCTTCCCACTTGTCCCCATGCCATCTTACAGGATCCCATTCTTTCCCAATCAATGCCCTCACTTTATTTTTTTTTTTTAAGATTTTATTTATTTGACAGAGAGAGACACAGTGAGAGAGGGAACACAAGCAGGGGAAGTGGGAGAGGGAGAAGCAGGCCTCCCGCAGCGCTCTATCCCAGGACCCTGGGATCATGACCTGAGCCGAAGGCAGACACTTAACGCCTGAGCCACCCAGGCGCCCCATCAATGCACTCACTTTAATAGCATTTTAACACCAATTAACTATTCAGCTAAAAATTTTCCAAATACCTGTTTCAAAAATTCCATTGTTAAGTCATTTCTCTCTTCTTACATTTTATTATAATCAGCCAGAAGGAGCCAAGCCACACCTTCAATTTCATTACTCACAAGTTCTACTTCCCACAAAACATTACACGGAACATAATTTCACCAAGTTCTTTTCACTTTATAAAAAGAACTGCCTTTCCTCCAGTTTCCAAGAACATGTTCCTCACTTCCATCCGAGACCTCATCAGTACTGCCTTTACCATCCATATTTCTACCAACATTCTGTCAATAATGTATTCTCTAAGATTGAAGTTTTCTTTCAGCTCTTTCTTTTCTAAGCATCATCAAAATCACCATTAATGTCCTTATTTTTTGCATGCACCTAAAAACTCTCCCAGCCCTTACCTATTATTCAATTCCAAAGCCACTTCCACATTTTTAGGTATTTGTTACATTAACACCCCACTTCTGGTACCAATTTTTGTCTTACTCATTTTGGGCTGCTATAATACAGTACAATAGACTGGGGGGTTTATGAACAAATTTCTCACACTCTTTGAGGCTGCAAGTCTGACATCAGTGTGCCAGCATGGTCAGTTTCTGGCAAGAACCCTCTTCCAAAATAAAGACTGCCATTTTCTTGTGTCCTCACATGACAGAAAAGTTTAAGAGAGCTCTCTGGGATCCTTTTGATAAGGGGACTAATCTCAATCAGGAGGGATCCATCATCATCACTTAATTACCTCCAAAAGGCTCCACTTCCTGTCATCACATTAGGGGTTAGGATGTCAACACATGAATTTTGAGGGGACACATTCAGTCCATTTCAAGGCCCAAATGGTTTCACTGGAAAATTCTACCAAACATTTAAATAATAGTGATTCTACACTACCTCTTCCAGAAACTGAAAGGAGGCAATACTTCAAAACCCATTTTACGAGGCCTCTATCACCATGTTAGCAAAATGAGGCAAAGACAGTTGAATAAAAGAAAACTACAGGCCAGTAATCCTCATGAACACTGATGCAAAAATCCTCAAAAAAAAAAAAAAACCTCAACAAAATATTAGCACATCATAGCAGTCACAGCAAATCCAGCAATATATTTATGCACTACATATATGTGAAGTATGCACTACAAACAAATGGAATTTATTCCAGTGATGTAAGGCTTGGTCAATATTTGGAAATTCATGAAGATAATCCATCGTAACAGAGGAAAAGAGAAAAATCACATTTTATTCATTATATCAACTGGTGCATATTTCAAGTAGAATTTCAAGGATATATAAAGGGTTCCATGGCAGTGTTTCCAGACAGCAAAGTGTTTTCAGAGTTATGATTGGGCCTGAGAGGGAAAAAAAAATCAAATATATGGTACTGTCCTGCAAATGTAGTCTCAGCATAAGGATGAATGTTATTATCCTTTCTGTGATACAACAGGGCTTCTAAGAATTTCAGTCATTTTTCCACAGCAGCCTCATAGGGAGCCCAATACAGAGAAAAAAGCCTGTTGATCTTCTGTCTGAGTGAACCCTAATAAAATTCGTTGAAAATACAGTTTTTAAGACAAGTGTACTACTTGCAGCTCTGCAAGCTTGAACTTAATGGGACAGACGTAGTACAGGGTGAAAGAGCCTTGGGATCCCAAAACATCTACGAGCTAAAAACAGTCTGAGAAAACTACTCAGCTGCAAACACACGTTACCTGTGTTTCATGAGAGGGGCGGGAAGCATGACTCAGGGTAGAACCAAGACCTCAGTATTCAAACATGCTACTTGGGGGCAGAAAGACACTGAAATTTGGTTCTGTATTATGTAATAATGCAACCCACTGAATATCACAGCAGAGAAATGTTGGGCGAAACAGATTATATTACATTCTTTTAAAAAAACTAAATCTTCAAAACCTCATGTGTATTTTACACTTACCACCATTTTAATTCGAACTAGCCACAATTCAAGTGCTCAATTTTGAGTGCTCAACATACTGCTGGCAACTATCTTATTAGGCAATGAAGGTCTATTCCATTAATTTCCATATTTGGTTGTAGTAATTGCTTTTTAAACTCATTCTTTAAACATATGAAGTACTGTGGGACAGGCATGATAACAGAGGTAGCAATAGCTGAACTAGATAAAATCTGGACCCTCAATTTTTATTTCCCAAATATGGTATAGCATATTTATCCAACTGAGCCACCCAGGCGCCCTGGTATAGCGTATTTAATATCCCAATGTGCAGAGCTTTGACAACATCCACAAATTTTGATATGTAGTCATTTTAAAAAAATCATTTACTTCAATTGGGTTATAATTCCATAGCTAATTTTATCTTTAAAATAATATTACGGGAAAATTGAAATACATAAAAGTAGAGAAAATAGCAAAAACAAAATAAACAAAAACCATGTACCCAAGACTCATCTTACCATTACTTTGTATCCATCCTTATTTTCCTTTCGCATGAGCATTTTTAAAAAGTTCCAGACATCATTATCATCTTGTGTATAAACTTACCTTTTTACATAACCACGATGCTATTATCACACCTAACAAAAACATAATTTTTAAATATTATCTAATACTGTCAATACTCCCATTTCCCTAATTGTCATAAAAATGTCCTTTTTACATGTTTGTTCAACTTGTGAATCTAATTCATTGCATTTGATTGGTATGCATTTCTTCAGACTCTCTTAATATCTGAGAGTTCCGCCTCCCCTTTTCCAGTGCCATTTTACTGTTTGAGAACCCAGGTTATTCCTCTTGTAGAATTACCCACATTTTAGATTAGTTTAACTGCTTCTTGTGTCATGTTCTTCTGTTCCCTAAATTTTCTCTAAAGTGGAAGTTAGATCTTGATGCTTAGATTCAGGTTCAGTATTTTTGGGCAAGATGCATAAGCCTTATTGTAACACATTAGGGGGCACAAGGTGTTTTTTCCTATTTTTCATGAGATTAAAATCGATCAGTGGGTACCTACACTGGTCTTAACCTTTACTGAGAATTGTGCCTAGATCCATTATTTCAGTGTGTGCTGCAAAACTCTAACAAAAGAACTTTAACTCATCAACTTCTAGTTGCCCTAAAATACAGTTCAAGAGGAAATGCAGGCTAAATGACTTTCCTTTCAATTATCATTTTTGGAATGAGTAGTGTCCTAGCAACCTCCATACGTATATTATACAGATGGGAAGAAGATGGGAAGACAGAGGTGATATAATAAGATCAAAAGCTCTTCTATACTTACTCCTTTAAGAGTTTCTTTCTAGAACAAGTTTCCTGAAGTTTAACATGGTTTTTAATGCTGAGGAAAGGCTTCTATAAATTCATGAAATTAATATATCCTTTCCTTCAAATAAAACCTCTTATTTAGCTTAGTTGTAAGCATGAAGCAAAAGGGATTCCTATATTCAAAAACTTCCCCTAGAATTTATCTTTTAATGCCCCTTAACACAAAATTCACAGTGGAAGGCTTTCCTATAATTATTTAGTTACATTATGAATTCGCTGATGGTAGGTAAGATGGGAATGTTGTCTAAATGCTTTTTTACATTCCTTACATTTGTACGGTTTTTCACCAGAATGAATTCTCTGATGTTGAATAAGGGATGAATGAAGTCTAAAGGCCTTTCCACATTCCTTACAGTCATAGGGTTTCTCACCAGTATGAATACTCTGATGTTGAGTAAGTTGTGATAGCAGTCTAAAAGTCTTCTCACATTCCTTACATTTATAAGGTTTCTCACCAAAATGAATACTCTGATGTTGAGTAAGTTGTGAGAACAGTCTAAAGGTCTTCCCACATTCCTTACAATCATAGGGTTTCTCTCCAATATGAATACCCTGATGTGAAATAAGTTCTGAGTAACGACGGAAGAACTTTTGACATTCCTTACATTCATAAGGTTTCTCACCAGTATGAATTCTCTGATGGAGGGTCAGATGATAACCACGACTAAAGGTCTTCCCACATTCTTTACAATCATAGGGTTTCTCACCAGTATGGATTCTCTGATGGAGAGTGAGTTGTTGTCTCACTCTGAAGGCCTTTCCACATTCCTTACATTCATAGGGTTTTTCACCAGTATGAAGTTTGTGATGTACTCTGAGGCCTGTACTACACAAAAAAGCCTGCCCACAGTCCTTACATTCATAGCACTTCTCAGCAATATTAAGTCTCTGATGTCGTGTAAGGTGTGCATACTGTCTAAAGGTCTTCCCACATTCCTTACATTCATAGGGTTTCTCACCAGTATGAATCCTTTGATGGAGATTAAGTTGTCCTCGCACTCTAAAGGCCTTCCCACATTCCTTACATTCATAGGGCTTCTCACCAATATGAGTTCTCTGATGTACTCGAAGATCTGCACCACATGTAAAGATCTTTCCACATTTTTTACATTCGAGGAGTTTGTCAGAAGTATGAATTCTCTGATGTCGACTAAGGTGGGCACACTGTCTAAAGGCTTTTCCACATTCTTTACATTCATAGGGTTTTTCACCAGTGTGAATTCTCTGATGGAAAGTAAGTTGTTGGCGCACTCTAAAGGCCTTCCCACAGTCCCCACATTCGTAGGGTTTCTCTCTATTATGAATTCTCTGATACAGAGTAAGAGATGTGAGTTTTCTGTAACTGGGCATTTTTTTCACTTGCCTGAAATATCCCTCTTGAGGACCTTCTTGTCCCTCAAACTTTTTATATTTATAATCTTTTCTGATAAAGGAGTCTTCAAGGCCACAACTTCTAATTCTTCTCATTATCTCCCACTGAGATAAATTCATTTCATAAATATCCTTTTCTTGAAATAACTTTTTAGTGTCATATCTGGATTCTAAATCTGAAAGAAAACAAGATAAATACATGCTATCTTCTTATTCTAGAAAAAGTAAACCAGCAAATAAAAACTTTATAATAGAAAAAAACCGATAGAAAATAAAGCTCAGTTGAAGTAAATGAGCTAAAAATCTCTAAAGTAATCATGTATTTGGGTGCAGATCAAAGTCTGAGAATCTTCACTTAAATTTTTAAATGATTACTCCTTTTAATCAGAATAATGTACAAATATCTTACCATGAATAACATGGCTTTTGTTTACCATATTATCTCAAGTCATTGTCCCCTTTGTTCCCTATATTCCTATCCCACTAACCTCCTTTCAGCTCCTAGAATATGTAATAATCTTTCCATTTCTTAGCACTTTTCACTGGCTATTAAATCTCCCAGAACTGCCAACTTGCATTCTCTACATAGTTGGGTTCCTTTCATCCTTTAGGTACCATGTTAAAAATCAGACCCATGCTGACTTCATCTAATTTATATCCTTTACTTTCTATCCAAGTAATTTGTTCCTTGTTTCTTAACACTTTTTCAATTTTGTTGTTACATACATATTCATAAATTTTCCTATTTTTTTATTCTCTTTATTTTCTTACCTTAAACTTTCCCAAGGGCAGAAACAATTCATTTATCACTGAATAACAAACCCATGGCATATAGTAACTATTAATTATTAAATTCTCATAATTAGTTAACATTTTTTGCATATGTTCCCTTGCTGCTAATCTTATACCTTATTACACTGATTATTTTTTATTACTTCCTATACAGATGGGAAACAAAAGCACATCTAAGCTATCTCAAATATATAAATGAAAAATGGTGATTTCTTTACAAGTGATTATCTTTCCTATTGTCCACTTTCACTTAGGTATCTCCACTACAGCTCATTTTCTACTTTGCATAGTCATGAGTAAACTCTGTTTGCACAAGGTAGTGAGAGGTTCTACTTAGTATCTTTATTTCAGTTTATATAACTACACACATCTATGTTACAAATACTCAACCTGTTGTTCCTTCATACCCTTCTCTATATTCTCCCAAAAGTCCTCAAAGCCAATGCCATTTAGGTTCTACCTATGGAGTATTTTAGTGATTTTTCAGGCATAATAATGAGTTTATATCATAGTAACAAGCTAATAAAATTCTGAGCAAAGAGATTTTTCTCAAATGTATATTTTCTCAAAATTTTTACAATAAGAGTTCACTACTTTTCAAAAAGAAAATGGTATTTTTAAGAACCTGTAATACAGGAACATTACTTTTAATATGCCCAAACTGGAAAGAATCCAAATGTTCATCAGAATTACTATGCAAATTAAAACATATTGTCACAACACAATACTGTATAGCAATGAAAATGAGTAGTCTACAAGTACACGCAACAGCACAGATCAATCTCACAAACATAATGATGAGTAAACAAAGACAAACATGAAAGAATATATACTGTATAGTTCCATTTTTATGAAGTTTGAAAATGGTAAAAAGCTGTTAAAAGTCAGGATAGTGATTGGGGCGCCTGCGTGGCTCAGTCGTTAAGCTTCTGCCTTCGGCTCAGGTCATGATCCCAGGGTCCTGGGATCGAGCCCCGCATCAGGCTCCCTGCTCGGCGGGAAGCCTGCTTCTCCCTCTCCCACTACTTGTGTTCCCTCTCTCGCTGTCTCTCTGCCAAATAAATAAATAAAATCTTAAAGAAAAAAAAAAGTCAGGATAGTGGTTAATTTTGGTGGGGAGGAAAGACTGGAAGGAATTAGGAGGGATCTTCTAATATCCTAGTAAACCTCTATTTCTGTGCTAGTCAGATGGGTGTGATTACTTTGTGAAAATTCAGTAAGCTGTTTGCTTATGATTTCAGGTTTTTTGGTATGTATTTATGTTTCAATAAGTTTGTTTAGAAAAGGATATACTGGGGCGCCTGGGTGGCTTAGTCGGTTAAGCGTCTGACTCTTGATTTCAGCTTAGGTCATGATCTCAGGGTTGTGAGCTCAAGCCCTGTGTCAGGCTCTGCACTGAACGTGGAGCTTGCTTAAGATTCTCTCTCTCCCTCTGCCCTTCCCCACCCCAACCACATGCACATGCTCTCTCTCTTAAAAAAAAAAAAAAAAGGTATGTTAAAAACATTAAAAGGCAATAATGATTTAAACAGTGTATATAAAATATGAGCAGAGACAGGTAAATGAGTATTTCCTTTTCCCCTTAGTTCCCTCTTTCCTCTCGCTTTCCCTTTCTCTCTCTTCCCCTTTCTCTCTGTTTCCATTTCCCTACCTAAGAAAGCAATAAAAAACTTTGGCAACTTTGTAAGGATCTTCAGGAAAAAGTCAATTTAAGGCTTAACACATATATCATGGAAATATATCATGGAAATGATATATTAAATGACCAGTAATTAGCCAAATAATAATGACAGCAAATAAGTAGGCAGCCATAAAGGTATGACAAAGGTTATAAGATGGTAATTTCAAAGGATTTACTTGTAAATTAAAAAGTAAAGACCAGTAATGTAAAAGGAAAGTCATTAAAAAAACATAAAAAAGGAAAAGTCATGGTCAAAATAAAAATAAAGCTGAAACATCTGCAAGAAAAATGAGAAAGTGTTGACAGCATAAATGCCCATACAAATTGATGTAAGAAACATTAAACAATGGAAACAGTAATAAAGGAGATGAGCAGAAAATGAGCAAAACAAATATAAATATACACAAAAATAAGATAAAATGTCCATATTCACCCTCTCTCTCTCTCTCTCTCTCTCTCACACACACACACACACACATACACACAAAACCCACAAAGTAGAACAAGTTATAAAATTCATCCTATAGGGGACCCAGGCTGGCTCAGTTGGTGAAGCATGTGACTCTTGATCTCGGGGTTTTAAGTTTGAGCCCCAAATTGGGTAGAGAGATTACTTAAAAATAAAATCTTTAAAAAATAAAAAAACTCATCCTATAAAACGTAGAGGTTTCCATTCAAAAACAAAACATTCCCAATGTGGATATAATGAACCTGACACTCTCATATATGCCCCTGCCACTTAAAAGATATGCCAGATTAAGACCTTGCATTTTGAATATTCTCACCTAGGAGACTACAGCATGAACACTGAGCTGTAATCTTATGATCCGTATAAACAAAAAGTCAGCCATATTTGTTCCCAAATTTGTTTATGCCAATTCTTATCACTGCAAGCAACTAAGACAATCATTTCTATAAAAACAACATTGAATACTTCAGGTTCTTGTTCTACTTTAAACTGAAACTAGAAATAATAGCCTTCCCATTATATGTGTGATCTAATCAAGAAGGAATTGGCTGGACCTACAATGAAACAAAAGGCCAAACTAAGTATCAAAAGATTGACCTATGGTAAGAAATGTTAATGTTACAACTTTTAAGATATATGTAAAATATTTAACCATTTAAAATTAATAAACCAAACACTAGTTTGGATTCTACTGAATCAAGAACTTTAGTAAAAAATGCTAATGTACAAGCAAAATATTAGCCCCTCTTAGATCAATATAAAAGGAGAAATGTTATTTCCATTTGCAGGGTATCAGCTTTCATTAAAAAGAAAATGAGAATATTACCTGGTCACAAAATTAATTCGTTTCCTAAGGTATGATGTCTTTAATCACCTTTTTTCTTTTGTTGATACAAGATGATATGGGATACATATTTATGACAGAGGCAGTTTTAGTCACATTAACACCAGGGTTAATGTATTAAGAAATCTGTAAATATTAAAACCCTATGACCACAGAGTTGTATTTCTGAGAATCAATACTGACTACATACTGAATAATCCATAATGAATTCCAATAAAATGCTAAATAATCCTCACATTCTGCTGATAATCTTACTCTTTATTTCAACAAGAAATCAGAAGCATTTGAAAGAAAAATATGTATTCTCCCCTTCCCATTATTCAACCAACTTGTGTCCATATCCTTGTCATATGCATGGGTTTTCTTCCTAAATTGGCTCCAACTCCTTCCCATCTACTGAAGGCCATTCCTTACAAAATTATCCCATCTCTCTACTCCATCAATTTTCCTCTCTTTGAAATCATTCCCATCAACATATAAATATGTTCTAATACCTCACATTTTAAAGGCATTTCCTGTATCCCATGTGTCAGCTTTTATGGCACAATTTCTCCAAGACTTGTATATACTTATTTTCATCACTGTCTCACCTCTCATTTTCTTATCCTTTTATCTCCCAATAACTTTAAAATAAAACTTTACTACAGAGTATCTCTAATACACAAAAGTAGAACAGTATAATGAATATCCATGCGTCTATGACCCAGCCTCAACCACCACCAACCCGTGCCCAATCCAGGCCTATGCACACCCCAATCCACTTTCCTCATATTATTTGAAGCAAATCCCATATACTAATTTTTTCTACTTAAAGGACTTATCTCTAATCATACTACCATTATTCAAACCTTTAAAAAAATGAACAGTTAATTCTTTAAGATTATAAAAAATAAGTGTTTATACTTCTAATCTCAAACATAAAATTTTAAACAATTTAAAAATAGTAAATTGATCCCCCCAAAAAGTCCATAGAGTACAACTGGCTGACAGGTCTTTTATATGTCTTTTAATCTAAAGGTTTTCCTGCTTTCTTTTGATTTCCCTTGTAATTTATTTGTTGAAGAAACTGTTTTTTGACCCTATAGCGTTGCCCATTTCTTAATTTTGCTGACTATAAGCCCAAGGTACAGTAGAACATATGTTCCTCTATCTTCTTCCCATAAATTGGTAGTTGGCTTTAGAAACTTCATCAGACTTAGGACCAATTTTATTGGCAAAGTTACTTCAGAGGTGATACTGTATCCTTTCATTAGAAGAAATACGTCTGATTTTCTCTATTTCTGTGATGTTATTAGTTTAATGTTTAATTTGATGTTTAATGCCCAGATCCAGTTGTTCATTATGGGTTCCAAAATGGTAATATTCTAATTCTGTCATCTTTCATTTATTCACTGAATACTTTTATTAAGAAAAACATCCCTCTATCTAATATTGGTACAGTTCTTATAAAAAATACTTCTTATAAAGAATACTTCTTTTCCTTTATATTTCCCAAATAAGTTAAATCTCTAGTAGTTTCTAATGGTGAACAATTTGCTATTAGTATCACTAAGAATTTATGGAATTAAGCATATTTTATGTGTTACAATACATTGTAGTTATGTGTATAGTCAAATGTTTCCATCTTTGACTAGCTGGAGCTTCTTACAACTGGTTCCTCTTCTCTGACCACCTTATCTAAAGTTACTCCATTCATCCATCATAATTCTCCATATTCTTACCCTACTTACATTTCTTCATAACTTTATCATTTCACGATATTTGTTAATCCATTTGCTTATTTGTGTATTGTATGACTTCCCTACTACAATGTAAACTTCATGAAAAGAGAACAATGGAGAAATATATATATATAAAAGATGAACCAGAAATGAATTAGATCCAAAATATAGGTAAAATGGTTGCCATTATGAAGTTTCCCCCCACTGAAATGACAGGGAGATAGAGGAGTGAAGAAACAAGTGGTAAGTGGAAGTATAGATGAAATTTCTTTGCTGGCTCATGCTGAGATCTAAGTTTTCTTCCCAGGTTTCAGGTTTCTCTTCATTATCAACATCTATGGGGTGTGTTACCTTCCCAACCAGCAGGCTGTGCCTGCAGACACAGATAACCACGCATCTCTGCCTGATTAGCACTTACTCACCTAGGCTCCTTCTTCTTCTCTCATCCCTCACAACCATCCAGGGTTCTTTCCCTTGCTCTAGTAGGGTAATCACATCTGGCTTAGAAATGGAACATCCTGCTTGAAAAAACATAATGGTACATAATAAAGAAAGAATTAACTTGATAGAGCCTTCAGAACAAAGAGGAGTAATGGGATTGAAAAACATTCATATTAGTGTTACTTCAGGATCACAAAGAAGAAAAAGAACAGAGGAGTAGGAACATTGTCTTATTTTAATTTAAACTCATACAGAGTCTCTTTCTTGAGAGGAAGTAATGATTTTGGGTTTTGTTTTGTGGTGTTTTTTTTTTTTTTGAGGAAGTAATGATTTGAGAACACTGGTTTCAAATCCTGCCTCTACCACCTGGGTTGCTATGGCCTCAGTTTTCTCAGCTGTAAAAAGGAGGTACTATGTCTATCCCTTGGACTGCTGTGAAGTTTGATTTTATAAATGTTAAGTGCTTGGATGAGTGCTTAGTACATAGTAAACACTATATATATACTTATTAGATACTTTTATTAGGTATTTTGCTATTTTGCTAAAAGGAAAATAGTTTCTAACCAAGATATACATCCAATATTAAATGCAAAATTCATGTATTTTAAACTTTTAATCATAAATCAATTAAAAGGTAGTATGTCTGCTGCGGTAAATTCAATGTGTCCACTTGAGTTTTAACAAACTGTTGATTCAACCCAGCAACATATACGTTGTATAAGCTTTTTAAATAGATATGTGGAGCCAGACACCTCTATAGTCTTCCTACTCACATTGCAAGTAAACTAACAGATAATACGCCATGTATAGCAATAAGAAACCAGATTTCTTTAACAATGGTTTTGCTGTGAGTGTCTAAGAATTTATATCTAGCTGTCATTAAAGAGGAGCAATTACAGAAAAGGTACAGAAAGACATAAAGGTCACTGGATTATGAGGGAAGCTAAAGGTGCTATTTAATTGCTTAATAGCTATAAGGTGCCTATTCCCAACTACAAAGCAGATATTCAGCTAATTTCTAGAAAGACAGCCGTGAAATTCAGCCCTGTGAATTTCTAAATTATATGACACAGATAAGCTTACCCACTGACACCAAGTTGCTATAGTTCTCTAATATCACATCTCTGTATAAATTCCTCTGATATGAGTTCAGGCATTCCCACTCTTCCTGAGAAAAGTCTACAGCCACATCTCTGAACATCACCAAATGCTGAAATGACAAACCCATGTATTATTTCTAAAATTATTTATTTCTCTTCAAGGGCCAATATTTAAGCTTTGCATGCCACATACGATCTGTTTCATATCCTTCCCTTTTCCCTTCCTTTTTAAAACAATTCTTTCAAAACATAATTAACTCAAAGGCTGGAAAAAACAGGCCAAGGGACGAATCTGGCTCACAAGCTGTAGTTTGCCAACCACTGCTAAAGAAAAAACTTCCTGTGTACCATGGAATACCTAATTTTACTTATTTCTAGGTATGTTCACATAATCAGAATTTCACAATTAACTGAAATAGTGTTCATAAGAACACTGCTCGCAAAGGGCCTAAGTGGGCCCATAAAAAAATTCTCAATAAATGTGCTTTATTCTAACCTTTTTTCCTTTAAGGATTAGGAAAAAAAAAACAAAACTGATGGATTTCTTTTACTCCAAATGAACCATAAAATCTCTGTTTTTAAAAAGTAGTTTGTATAAAATTAAAGAATTTTTCAGACCTGACTTCATCACTATATCATTAGCATTTTTCTTTATTATAACAAATACTTTACTGAATATTTTTAATTTACTAAAAAATAGTCCATTTGTGTTACACTTAGGAATGATTACATTTAGGTATTTCTATACTTTTAAATATATTAAGTTACATTTAGAATTCAGGTTACACAAAATCTCTGAAGCTGCAATGTCCAATATGCTGGCTTAGACACGTGATGACTGAGCACTTAAATTGTGGCTAGTCCAAATTTAGATGTGCTGTAATTCAAAAATACATACCAGATATAAAAAACTTTAGAAAGAAAAAAAAAGTAAAACATCTCAATAATTTCCATATTGATTACACTTCGAAACGATAACATTTTGGGTATATATATATATGCTATATTGAGTTAAATAAAACATTAAAATTAACTGCATGTGTTATTTTTTACTTTTTTAATGTTACTACGAAAAAGTTCAAGATTATGTAAGTGCCTTGCATATTATTCTATACTTTTTATGAGACTTACATGTTGCCTACTGCCTTTAAGAAGGCACTAATTCTATATCTTAAATATGCAACTTCTAGAAAATTTTTAATTACATAGGTAGCTCACATTATAATTCTTTTAGACGGTGTTGCTCTAAGAGCCTCAGATCAAACAATTCCCTCTAGGGACTTTACTTCTATTTTATCTCTGCTCTAGACAAAGACTGAACACACAGTCAATACACTGAGTAATTTGGTCAATAGACACATGGACATGGGTAGAAAAGAGTGAGGTACATGGGGGCCTGGGCTGCCTGGTTCCATCCCTTACTAGAATGGGAAAGACTGGGGAGAAGCTGTCGGATGGGGTTCTGTTAGGAAGTTTCAGGATATCTAAAGAGAGTTGTCATATAACCTGAAAAAAATTACAGCCCTTCAAACAGAAACGCCAACTTACATGAGCCATGATTTTAGATTGTAAAAACTGGTCAGTTTTCCTCAAAGGTCATTTGCTGGAGAAGTAGAGTCCACAGAAGCTAGAGCTGGGGGAAGAAGATAAAGCCATAAGAACGAAATTGCCTCAGAACTCCCAAATTTTAAAATGTCACACTACTTCTCCCTTCCTACACTCCTCCCCCCTCCAACACACAGACAGTGAGAGGTAGGAGGTAGTTTAGAAAAAATATATGTCCTCCTCAAAACCACAGGAAAATCAGTTGCACAAGGACAGACACAGAGCAGAGACTTGCATGGAAGCTCATGTCCAGACACTTTAGCAGGAGGGTTTCCAGTGAGTCCCCTACCCCAGCGAGGCTGAGCTGGACCTGAGCATGGGCTGCCCAGGCCTGTCCTGAGCAGATCCATCTCCCTCCATTCCCACTTTCCCAGCTGAGAAATGGTTGTTACATCATCTGACCCAGAACTTCTTTCTAAGACTCAGGAATGTCTCCCTAAACCTGAAAACAGAAAATACTATGGATAAGAATTTCCCAAACTTTGCTAGATACTGGAATTGCCTGCAGATCTTTAAAATATACTGATACCTGGCTCCCATCCCCCAAACATTTTTATTTCATTAGTACAGAGTGTGACCTGAGAATCACGATTTTAAATCCCCCTCAGATTTTATAAAATTTCTGACAGGTCATCATAAGGGGCAACAAAGTTTGGTAATTAAACTTTGTGTACATCAGAATTACCTGGAGGGCTTATTAAAAGTTTGCAGGGCCTCACTCTTAGAGTTTGGCATTTCGTAGAGGTTTGGAGTTGGGCTTGAGAATTTGCAGTTCTAAAAAGTTCCCAAGTGATACTTGATGTTGCTGGTCCAAATGACACAATTTGAGAACTACCTGCATAGACAACGCTAGCAGCCTTTATCATGGAAAAACTATACTTGCACACTGGGATCCCTTCTTGGGGGAAGGGTGAACTACCACCCTCAGAGCTCACCAGTCACCATTTGCCTGTTCAGAATCATCAGTACTGCCTGCACAATCTCAGTTATCAACCCATCTCTCTTGGTACTCAGGCTGGAAGAAGTGAATTCGTGAAACCTGAGCATGACTAACTCTCTAGAAAGTAGAAATAACTCATTAGTTAAAACTCACTAGTAACTGGGCACCTGGGTGGCTCAGTTGGTTAAGCGACTGCCTTCGGCTCGGGTCATGATCCTGGAGTCCCGGGATCGAGTCCTGCATCGGGGTCCCTGCTCGGCAGGGAGTCTGCTTCACCCTCTCCCGCTCCCCCCTCTTGTGCTCTTTCTCTCTCTCACTCTTTCTCTCAAATAAATAAATAAAATCTTAAAAAAAAAAAAAAAAACTCACTAGTAACTAAGGAAATGCATATTAAAGGAACTGGACTGACAGATCTGAAAAACTGATAATACTTCTTATTACTAAGGTTGTACAGAAATGGACACTCATGGTATGTTGTAGAAAGAATGAAAAAATGTTGGAAGGTGTTTATAATGGGAGAAAAAAAGCTAGAAAGAACCTAAATATCCTTTAACAGGTTAAATAAATTATCGTGTATTCACACAATGGCACTAAAAACCCACTAAAAATGGGGGTGTCTGGCTGGCTCAGTTGGAAGAGCATGTGACTCTTAATCTCAAGGTCATGAGTTCAAGCCCCACATTGAATGTAGACGTTACTAAAAAAATAAACATTAAAAAAAATAACTTTTTAGGGCGCCTGGGTGGCTCAGTTGGTTAAGCGACTGCTTTCGGCTCAGGTCATGATCCTGGAGTCCCTGGATCGAGTCCCGCATCGGGCTCCCTGCTCGGCAGGGAGCCTGCTTCTCCCTCTGACCCTCCCCCTTCTCATGTGCTCTCTCTCTCTCATTCTCTCTGTCTCAAATAAATAAATAAAATCTTTAAAAAAATTAAAAAATAACTTTTTAATTAAAAAAACACTAAAAACGATGATAAAATTCTTATTTGATGTTGTGGAAAGATGGTCACTACAGATTGCTGGGAGAAGGTAGGTTAGGAAATAGTTTTGTACTGTGATTGTATGTTTGACAGGAAAACTACATACATACACATACATGTATACGCAGGTTTATGAAACAGTCTGTGAATGGAGTTAGAATAAAATTTTATTGTATTACCTTGATGATGATATCCCAGGTGATCTTTATCTTGTTCTCTAAAAGTTTATATCACTTATACCTGGACATAAATTTAAAATAGCTCTGCAAGGGAATATTATATTACAAAAAGCCCCGAAAGTTCCATCCTTGCTATCCTTTCCCTAGCTTCCAAATCTAGAGACCCACCTCTCTTAGCTATTTCTTTTGGTATTTAAACTCCATACATTTAGCATGCTGATATTACTACTTCTGAATTTTTAGTTTTAGTCATTCTTTGCTGAGGTTAAAATAATTTTGTTTTTTGTAAGCTTAGTTTTCTAGGAAATTATCATTAATTCATTTCTCAAACTCTCACCCAAATAAAGGATCAGGAGGATGAATGAAGCTTCTGGCATAAAATAGCACAGTGGTCTATTTCATACTGTAAGAATCCTTCGGAAATTCAGCCAAACACTTCAGAGTATCACCTGTAACCCACCTGGTAAAAATCAATGCCATATTCCTTAGTGTTCCTCTCTCTGAAATCCTACATGACCATGAAGTGAAAAGTAAGGTAAGTAATATCACACAGAAAGCCTGTCAAAGGAATTGCTCAGGCAGTTTGAATATTACTGCCCAATAGCTGATTTCTTAAATGATTTATAAAAATCCATAAAATACTGAATACTAAAGTAAATATGAATTCCTAAGTTCTAGAAAACAGTTAAGGAATAGAAAGTATTCAAGATACACTGAAAGAAAAATAATCAGTTTATAAAACAATATATAATATAATTAGTTGTTTTAAATCATTAATGTGAAATGGATATCAGTAGATGGGGGGGAAATCTCCATATTTCAATTCTGACATTTTAAAATTAATTTTAAATTATAATTAAGTCTCCCAATTTAAATGCCATTTCTATCGTAAGAATTATAATTACTTGGAAGATTTCTCAAACAAAAAGGGGACTGCTGGGATTTTGCCTTTCTCCATATATCCATGATTATAAAATCCATGAGGATACTGAATGTCTCTTTTAAACTAATAACTAGAGGTCTTGATTTCTTTTAAATTTTCAATTAGGGTTATCCCATTATTCAGAAATAAAACCACATACAAAAACACATATACTTGTAGAAATATTTTGGGAAAATATGCTACAAATATTAATAGTGATTATTTTTGGATGTTGAGACAATGGATAATTTTAATTTCTTCTCTTTTAGGTCCCTTAGTTACTTATTTCACAAGCCTGCATTAACTCCATCAGAAATATTGTTTTAAAAAGCCATTCCCATTAAAAAGAATTTTTTAATGAGTTGGGAGAATGGGGTACCTTGTAGTCATTAAGAAAATTGTGATTAAATAGGCCTACATAAGTGGTAACAACCAGGAAATCAATGTGCCTGAAAAAATAATTCCTACCAATTCTTGAATATTGTATCTCATCAACACCTGAGATCCTTCTGTGAAGGATCACAGTGCTTTTCCAAAGTGATTGCGAGACAGAAAAAGAAATGCTTATTTCAGAGCAGCTGCTCAATAACTTGAGCTTAACCCTCCTGGGCTCCAGTGAATACACCAGTTATTAAATCCTTGCAATGCATCTTATAAATTGTGTTCAAGATACATATGTAATTTAACAATTTCTTTTTTTTTTAATTTTATTATGTTATGTTAATCACCATACATTACATCATTAGTTTTTAATGTAGCGTTCCACGATTCATTGTTTGCATGTAACACCCAGTGCTCCATTCAATATGTGTCGCCCTCTTTAATACCCATCACCAGGCTAACCCATCCCCCCACCTCCCTCCCCTCTAGAACCCTCAGTTTTTTCTCAGAGTCCATAGTCTCTCATGGTTCTGTAACTTAACAATTTCTTAAAGATTTTTATTCATAATAAATATTTCTCAATATTACATTATATACATACATATTTTCCTGATGACTAACTAAATTACTAATAAACATAATTTTTAGTATTGCATAACATTCCATCACATGGATGGATGGAATCCATCCATGTGATGGATTAATCACCTGTGTGATTAAGTAACTCACATTCCATCATGGAATGTGAGTTACTTAATCATTTCTATATTGCTGGATACTACTTTTATAAAAGATTATCCCAAAAGTCATTCCTAGTTATCCCAGACTTTTATTCTACACTTGTAAGAAATCAATCTTGTTGGGTCTTACACAACTTTGATAATATCATGAAATGATAGACTTCCTCCCCACCAAATTACCCGCTGACAAATATATACAACAATCTTGTACATAATCTTAGATTTTTGTTGTCCTGAAAACCCATAACAGAGTCCAAAGACT